AATATATCAAGGTCCAGCAGAGAGGCTTATTAGTAAGGACTAAATTTTCCCATCTTGTGTGGCTATGTAAAGTTCCAGTTGCAGTGGGTTCAACAGCTGTTCAGAATGATAGAGTTTATGGAGATCACACAGGGATCTGCATTTACTGCATGGTGTGGAGTTTGGTAAGGATTAGAAATGGGATTAAATCCAACACTACAGAATTTCACCAGCCCTTGTCCCCCTGAAAGGGCAGTTTGACAATTATTCTGCAACCTGGGTTAAAACACTATATCAAGAGTAGCTCAACTTGGAGTTCTTGCAAAAGAACCAAATGCTGAGAATCCTTCCCAGCCTTCATGGAAGCACTGTGCACTATGAATGACTCCGGTGAATTACTTTGGTACTTGAGGCTCCTATTCCCTGCCTTAAACCAATCACAAAAGCTGTAAATACTCATATCAGTGTAGGCACCACTGGGTGCGAATCAGAAGTTAAGTGCTATCCTGGTTGTTTTCCTCCATATGCTGATATTTTAAGGAAAGTTTTCAAAGGAAAAGAGTAATCCAACTTAAAGTAGTTTAAATAAATAAAGGGAAAGGAGCACAACATTCCTGTGAATTAATAGGTGGTCCTCAGCAGCTGCTTGCTCATACATACTAGCAACTGGGGGCTCAATTAAACATTCTAATTAGAATTCAGCACAATATAGCTCTGATTTTATGAGCATATAAAACACGTTGCCAAGAGCCACACACATTTTATTTAAGAGGACATAAAAATGTGGGGTAACAGCTTACTAAAAAGGCAAAAGTGCCTTCTGAACAGAAAAAGAAATGCCACTTTGAAGAGAGTTAGGGGTATATTTGTTTTGTGACTCCATTCAACTCACCTCCCCAAGAATTGTAGTCTTGTAATGCAACCCTTAACCCATGCAAGGACTGATCATGCTTGGGTTTGAGTGGCCTTCACAAATGGGAGCAGAAGGTGCATGGTATCTGGTGGGATTGGGCTTGTGGTTAGTCTAATTTTTCACTCTCCATAGATTGGACATGTGATTGTTCAGCATAATGCAAATTGCTTGGCACATCCTCTTTATTTCTGGCAAAGCATAAATGTAAATCAGTCACTTTTAGAAAGTCAAATTAAGTTTAATTCTTTTTCTCATTATTACTTTGTTGGCAACCTGAGCTCTGCACTGTCAATTTTGCTTTAGTGCCAAAAGCAACACTCATTATGGAAAAAGAGCATTTTAAGCCTGCAGCGATAGGTTTTCATATACCAAAACCCTGACAATCCTGATCTCCATTCAGCCCAATGACATCCACTATGTCAGCATTGTAAGGACACTGGGCAGGATTGTGAAACCTTCTCTTTATTGTAGTAGCTGTAAAGTCCACAGCCAGATAACAGGACTGAGAGCTAACTCAAAAGACTGTTTCTCAAGAGCTGTTTTCCAGCCCCTCTCATCAGGGTGAATACACTCACTCACTGAAGCATCTTTGACCAGAAATCTTGGCCTACCTCCAACTGCCTCTCTCTTTTCAGTGATTTCCTCTTCCTCTCTCTGTTTGTGGTCTTCAGTCCTAGTTATCTTGTACACAGAGCCTTACTGAGAAAATGAACTCTCCCAAAATCTGAACAATCCAATTGATATTCATTTATAACAATAATCATTAACAGGCCCAGGGACCCTGTGAAACAACTAGATTGGACACAAGAAAAGCACAAACAACTCGGCTTCTCCCTCCTCCTCCAAATTAAAGTAAAATACATAGAAGGTTGTAAATTGTTTTTATTTGATGTTTCAGTTTTTCTTAAATTGAAAGTCAGTTTTAGCAAGCCTGCAGTGATACGAGGTTGAAAGTTAAAACTGGAGATAGATGATTCTACTCACATGTTTTGTACTATTATTTCTCATTCCCAGTGGGATGCTGCAGCTTATTTGGGGGGCATTTTTAGGGGTATTTTTTATATTTGTGATACACACGATCTAAGATTTGGTAATATTAAGCAGATACCATCTGCAGTATCTCTGTAGCCAATGACTAAACACAAAGCTGCAGACTCTGAGACTCCCAACCTTCATGCTTTTCACTGGAGGGAGAAGGAATAAGTGTGCATGAGAGGGAAATCCATATAATAAAATGAAAGAGAAGAGAAGCTGGATGAAGTAATTGCACTATAGGATTACCTTGTGCATGCACAATTGAGACAAAGGGTACAATCAAGCTGCCCTCCCCCATCCATCCTATATCTAGTACCAGCACAATCTTTTCATGTGCACAAACCATGCTCTTGACAATCTATTTGGGCAAGGCTTTTTCTCCTAATAACTATTCTAAAAGATTCAGACTATCTTCCTCCCATCCCTTCTGTATTAACAATGACCAATGATGCATTACATTGCTTTGTTCATAAAATGGATTTTGGACCCCTTTCAAAATGCAAAATCTACTGCATACCAATTTGTCATTTACTCCTTTAATAAGTTCCTAACAGAAGAAAATGTCCTATGATTTCACTGATTCCTGTACGACATGACTATATAATTTTATTTATACTGAGGATTTTCTGACATCCTTCCATGCTCTGTCTAGCAGTACAATATTAGCAAGGTGGAAAATTCAGTGCAAACAGGATGCACGTGTTTTAACAACCACATCACTGAGTTCTGTTCAGAGCAATATAGGAAAAAACATCATTAACTTTCTGCCCTGTCTTTCACCTTTGCTAATACAGGTGGGGCTGTGCTGATGGTACAGAAACATTGAGAAATGTTAGGAAATTCTTGGGGCCTGTTTGAACATACAAAGCATGTTGCTTTATACCTGTGTAGTCAAAGTAGTAAAATTATTTCTGGACATACTTATACTGTTAAAAGTATAGCATACTGTGTATGCTAGTATAGCTTATCCCTATAAAGAATGAAAGAATGATAGAGCATCCTGGCCCTCATTACGTCATACACAATGAGATTAAATAAATTAGATTTATTTTGTAACGCAGAGGGCCAGTCAGAGAAAACTAAGGTGAGCCATACCAATATCTGGTTCACTGCAGTGAAAACGTGGGGCTTGTACAATAATAGTAAATTCCTAAATTATAGAATCCTTAGGAGAGATGGTACAGATTTTACTTCTTCCTTTGTAGCTATGGAAAGGTCTAGAGTTAAACTGAATCAATTCACTTCTGCTGGGTAGAAGTAAGCAGGACTCAAGGAACTGAGTCTACAACCCTCCAGAACCCATGAAGCTCCACTCTATTGTGATTGTTCCTGGGTTGATGCTTTTGGGACAGAGCAGGAATAAAAATTGGGTGGAGTTTCTGGATTTGCTATGTAGACCCTGCTAGCCATTCATAACCCCTAGAATTCATAGGTTATTGTGGGGTGTCCAACCGACAGCTCCCAAGGGGTTAAACTACAGTCCCTGGACTCCTGATCCAAGTGATAACTCCTCCCTTTGTTCTCTTGCTGCTGTTGCCAGAGTCCCAAGCCTCTCCCTTCCTCCTCCAGCTTCCACTGCCTGCCCCCACCCCTGGAGCAGTGAGGCCAGTGGGGCTGAGGGACCCCATAGCTAGAGGGCTCAGGGGACTTGGGGACCTCACACACGTTGGAGTTGGTGGGATGCAGTGGGAGTGGCCCACTGTGCAGCAGTAGGGGACTATCACATCCGTGCAT